TGTAATGAAAAAGAAACACGGAGTTTTAGACTTTTTAAGCCTGAAGCTGCACTTGCACAGCACTGCTGTACTGAACAGGGAGCCTGGACCAGTACTTCTTCAGTAGCAAAGACCTGAATTGGTATGTGTGCCTACTGAGGGTGATTTATTCTGCAGTTCTTCAGCGTACTGAATGCTTGGCTGTCTTTATTGTGATCAAGTTTGATATATCCTTAGCTCTATCTATGACTCCTTCTCCAGAAAGCAAGCTAGGGCTGACAATATCCACCAGTGGTTAATTTCCTTATAGTAGCCAGGATCAAGATCATTTATGTCCTCTGTAACAATCAGCATTCAGTTCAGCTGATAAATAACAGCAGTATGTGCACGGTTTTTTCAACCTTTATTTTAAGATGGGCCTGCCAACTCTATCTCTCCACACCTACCCCTCAGTCCTCTTTCATATATCAAGAGAGACACTGAGCAAACTTCACTTTCCAAACCACTTCAAAACATTTATGGCATAGCATGCAACAAAATGGTAACAGCCTCCTGACAAAACACAAAATGGAAATCATCTAAACAAAAGACAGGCAACAAAACAGCAACTAATTATTAACTAGAGAAGGAAGAAATCATTGTTTATTCTTCTACAGAAGAGCAGCAATTTTACTGCAAGGTCAAGGCAAACTGAAAAGCTCAGCTATACTGAGCTTTGGCCCAAACCAGGTGGGAGTGCACCAGATTGTGACCAAAGGCTTCTCAGACCAAAAATTAACTTTGCAAGTTAAAAATGGACAGAGCAGGAAAAAAGAAGTATAGGAAAGTAACAGATTCCTGTTGTAGGCAACAAGCTCAGCCTATGAAAGAAAGCACAGACCTCTGAAAACCTGCAAGACAAAGGGCTTTCTAAATTTCTGTTCTCAAGTGGTGCAGCTGATAGTGGGGATTTGGCAGTTTACTGAAATGAGCAGTGGATGAGATGATAGAATGGAGAAAGCATGGGAAGAATGATCTTGCACTGGGAAATGCAAAATCAGCTCACAGAACCTATAAAGGGTATCCGTGAGAGGTGTAAGAAACCCGGTGCAATCACAGAATGTGCTGCTCTTCTCAAAGGTTTGGGTCAGATCAGAAGCGACTGAACTCAGGCTACTTAAACAACCAAGAAAACCTGTTCATAGATATTAAGAAGTTAATAACACCTCCTTGGTATCATGAAAACAGATATGAAAGCAACTAGTTGTCTGAAGTCTTCATTGTGGTAAAATATGTTATCAATCCAAAAAAAAAAAAAAGAGAAGTTCACACAAGAACACCTTCCCTCGGCTTTTGCCTGGATTCTACCGTGGTAAAAACCCCAGGCTGCTTAAAAGTAACACTTAAGACACTATCAGGAACATGCTTCCTCCAGCTGCATCCCTAATTAGCTCTGTTTCTTTGAATACTCGTTTTCCTCATTTATCACCCTATTTCAGAGAAGCTTAGAGACCCCGTTTCAAACACATGCCTTCCATGATCATGAGTATCGCAGTTTTGGATGCACCAAGTGAAACAGTTAGCAACCAAAGTAACATTTTAGAAGAGGGAGCAGAACACTGCCTTCTAAGACATCTGTGTTTTATTTCACAGCTGCAGGGTGTATCCATCTAGCACTGACAAAAGACAAAAGGCTGTGCCGTGATACAGATCGCCGAAAGACGATGGTAATACTTGAATACTGTCTTTGAATTAAGGAACCTCAAAGTGCACTATTCTATAGCTGCAGCATTGTTACTGTTCTGCTCTGGGGTATGCTGTTAGAGAAGTAATGGCAGTGAAATTCAGTAAGTAATATGTTCCTATTGTTCTCCTATAAAATTGACCAAAAGGCCTCATGCATGTACACAGCTTTCATTTTAAGTGCACTAGAGCTGAAAAGAATAGAGATGCTGTACTTGGAGATTTCTAACGTAGTATGCTATGATTTTGCCAGAAGAAAGTAGAGACAGTTCTTGCATCCTGGATTTCAAGAGAGGAGGAAACTCCTTAGCTCGATGGATGCTATAAACACCACAGAAACAAGCAACCACTGGAAGTTTCAATTTTTTCACCCTCCAGTGAAGAGGCTTAACATTTATGCCACTAACCACGACATTAAAGGTGTCTCAGATATCAGCAACTGCCAGAGATAATGAGAAAAAAAAGCTCATCTTTCAGAGAATGCCACCAGGCAGAAGGAGGGGACCTGGGAGAGGGGGGAGAATGGAAGCAGGTTCATGGGGGCAGGCAAGTCCCCTCCCAGTCCATCTCACCTTCCCAGGTGCCCTCATACAACAGGCACGAGGCCCTGGAACTGGATAGACAGACAACTGATGATATGGACAATATTTTCCCCCTTTCTCTGGTGCTGATCCACCTTTCTCTGTGGGAGGAGCTGGGGGAACAGCACAAAGCTGTGTGAGCAGCTGCATGGGCTGGATATCAGGAAAAGGTTTTTCACCCTGAGGATGGTTGGGCACAGGCTTCCCAAAGTCACAGCACCAAGCCTGACACAACTCAAGAGGCACTTGGACAGTGCTCTCAGGCACCATGGTGTTATTCTCGGGGCTGTCCTGTGCAGGGCTAAGAGCTGGACTCGATGATTCTTGTGGGTCACTTCCGACTCCGTTTATTCTACAATAAATGTTGAGTTTAAAAAACAGAAGAAACATTCTGAACATTGATAAGGACGGGCAGCAAGTTAAATTAACTTCCTTATTTCAAGGGCTGTTTTGAGAGGCTGGTGGTTGTTGGTCTTGCTAGAGGACTGTATTAGTCCATTCACAGAAGAAGTACACTTAACATGAAAGTTCAGCAGGGACACTGCCAGGCAGGCCATGAAGAAGTTGAGATGCAGGAGTTAAAATGAAAGAAGGCACATGAAAAGGATGAAACTGGGCAGATTAGGCATTTCTCCTGAGCAACTGGACTCAGCTGACAGGCTGAGTGCAGAGCAGGGGAATGACACGCAACTTCTATGCAAGTTTGCACATTTCACTTAGCTTGTGATACAACAGGGCAGTAAGTAACAGTATTTTGGGCTAAAAACAAGCATGTTTTTCAACGTGTAAGTCTCCCAAACATGCAGTCACACAGCAGCTGCAGAGACAGGGGAAACACTGCTTCCTCACAACTTGTCTCATTTATCAGTTTGCCTCACACTTACAGAACATGCTTTGCTATACGTCAGAGACAGAAAACATTCCTGTACTTGCTCAGAGGAACAGCCTGTCTGATTAAACACCCCTCTTTAGTGCAACAGTGCATGGCAGAACAATGGCTGTACAACACAACACAACAGGGGAAAGGACAACTAATAAATGCCTTTTGTCAAGCATGCCACAAAGGGCACACACTTCTTTTTTTCTGAGATGCATCCTTAAGAATTTTGGAACTCCATAACAAGCAAGTCTCCTGTAACATTAGAAAGGCAGATTTCAGAAACCAGGTCAGTGCTCAGCAGTTTACTATTTGGATCTTAAACACAAGGATGGTTTTAATCATCAAGCAAATGCACACCACTATACCAGCAGAAACATAAAAAAAAAAAGGGTTGCTTCCTTTTTCTCCACTTTCGAAGTAAATTCCCTACCTGCTCCATGAGTCACGACCCACAGATCTCCACGTGCTATATTAATGTATGTGTATTTCCTGGGCAGTAACTTAAAAGCATCATGAAGCTTGAGTAAAGATTTTGTAAGGAACTGAGCCTTGGGATTCTCAGAACCAAACAGAATATTCAATTTTTCTATCTGAAACATTTTGAATAGTCCTATCTTATTCAGATTATGTGTTCAAAAACCAAGGCAAATCACTGGCTATATATGGATGCAGCTGGCATTTTGAAGGATTGCATGGTATACCAGCAATGGGAGGGCTCACAGCTTCCCATTTTGGTCCCTCAGAGTTCATCTCCCACAGCTCTGGTGCACTAAGATTAAGTTGCACTCGTTAGTTCAAAATGCTAATGGTCACACTGTAATATTTGCATGTCATCCAAAGTTCAGTCTGGCATTCAGGCTTTGTGCAGTGACAATGCCTAACATGAGGTTTATTTTTTTTCCCCCCAAAAAATACTTCGGCTTCCCTAAAGCCAAATATTAACATCAAAGCATATTAATGTGAGTTTACTCACTCTGGGATTCTCCTGGTCACTGTAATACCAGCATATCCTTTAGCAGTAACTGGGCTTTTTTTCCCACATGATTGTAAGATCACTGTCATTTCTATACATTTATTTAACTTTACTGCCACCGTACACTGACCTTCCTCACAATTCTAACCATCTGCCTGCTTAGAACTGAACAAGGAAACATACTCTAAATGTACTTAGAGTATACCAAACTCAGGAATATTTCCCAAGAATTTTTCTGTTTTCCTTATATATGCTTTGAAATGTTCTTTTATCCAACTGCTCACTATGTAGTTTTTCACTCAACCACGATTTCAAATTCTACTTAAAAAAAGAGAAAAAAAAAACTATTTACAATACAAGTGCAACCCTTCACTCTCTAAAGATTTACTCTAAAAATTAACAAAACTATTAAAGCTGAAATCCTTGATTGAATTCAAGCAGTGGAAGACTGGATTTCACTTTGAATTTTTTTAACAGAATCATTTCCTTCTCCCATCATAGTCTAGCCACACCCATAGGCAGGCCTTCAGCCATACAGAAGTCATGACATTCACAGATTTCCACTAGAAAGTTATTTACTCTTGGATTACAGTTTACAACCTCCTCACCCTTCCCTTCTCCTTCTCTTCAATTCAAACAAGTAGAGGCTCTTTCCAAGGATAGATCTGATCTTAAGGACAGGAAAATACCAGTACAACAGCAGTTTGGAACAGACTTCTTTTTGGTCCCCAGTAAGGCAGGATGTTAATTAATTCTCACCAAGCTTGGCCGGAGAGCACTAATTTAAAAAGCCATAAGAAAAGCAGAAAATGTGAACAATGTAGTTAATGATATTAAAACAAAGCAGTGCCAATATCATACTTACAGGCTGAGGCTGTTCTGCAATACAGCAGTTGAAACACAACCAAAACTCACTCATTGTTTACAGTCTGAAGTGGAAAGACAGATGAAATGCACGACTCAACCTTTCTAAGTCTGTCTGCAGATGATAGCAAGTTCTTCAAACGGGTTTATAATGGCTCCAATGTGAAAATCTTTCTTTCTGTTGAGCTCTTCTCCAAAGACCAGTCAGTCCCAGGACAAACAGCTTGAAGGCAAAAGTTATTTTAGTCTTCTTTCAGAAGGTTGATCCCAGCACCACAGAAATGTTATATAGGCTTCTTTGGTCCCTAGCGTTATCTGAACCTGAAAACAGAAGTACATTACATTAAAAAGAGGGAATATACAGAATCTCAAGCTCCCAGGCAGCCACCCACACTACCAATTTCTTGGTAATATCCTGAATCACAGACTGAAGTCATGTGCTTATTTCTGCAGTGCCTACCAAAAATGGTATATACCATAAAATCCCTACCAGGCTTACATTGCAGCAGCTCTGGTTAGGTGAAGTGGTATTAAGAACTGCCATCCCATCTTTTGGCAGTCATCTTGGTTTGATTTGTTTCTAACTTTAAAATGTCATTTCAGAAAGTGATATCTGCCCACACACCCCTTTTAAACATCTTAGGGAAATGTGCCTATTGACATCCTATTACTCAATGGAAAAGTTACCCAGTCCATTCACAGTGAGAGGTTTAAATAGTGTGTAACCTCAACCCAATCAAAGGCATGCTTTCCTAAATGTTGAGGAAAGAAATTTATGTACATGAAAAATTTGCAGAATGGCTGGACTTGGTCTACACAATGTATTCCCCTTCCACTCTCTTCTACCCTATGCTTTATGTACAACTGACTTCAAAACAGGACATTGTAGGGTTCGAAACTGTTTCCCAAAAGTTCTAAAATTCCTCCAGTGGAACAAATGAGGCTCCAGATTCCAACCATTCCTTTTCTAAAATGCTGTTTATTGATAAATCTCCATTCCAGTTTCTTTCAGTAGGACTGCAATAAAAATTCCTGTGAGATTTCATTTATCTTGGCACTTATCATAAACTCTACTTTAAGAGAAAGCAAGATAACGAGTACTCAGAAGTTTTTGCATGCATACTCCTTAATAATTCTATGTACACCTATTATATTTTATATAATTCTATATGTGTCTTCACTCATACAAACATTTGCATAACTATGTATCATTACTACAGTGCAATTCCTCACAGCATGAAGTGGTTTGGATGGGATGCATAAAATTATACACACACACACACACACACACACATACATATATAATATACAAATATACACACAAATTCTGTGGTAGAGCAGTTCCACTTTGCCACCACCTTCATCAGTTCTCTACATGACTGAAAATTTGATGAACGTTAAAACAGCAAGAGCTGGACTAACAAAGAAAACCTTGACGAGAAAATACAAGTTTCTTTTCTAAATTTCATTCAGAATGTAACAAAATCAGGACTAAAACATGCTTAACTCCTGTTGGCATGTAACATTTGACAATTCCAGTGCAGTAACTGTACGGCTTATGCGTCCTTCAAATGTGGCATTTGAACGTTCTGAGAAGACAGGCTCCAAGTTGTTCTGAAACACAGCAGTGCTCCCCCAACGCTCAGATTTTGAGAAACTGAGAAATCAAGTATTCAAATTTAGCATTTTGAAGTCCAGTACATTGTAAGCTGATGGAGCTATAAACAGAAACAGTGCCGTGAGCTTCTCTTGCTGTGCAAGTGCCCGAGTACTCTGATTCATTACTCCCAAAATTCTTACTCCTGTATTATTGCTTCCTTACAATCTCTCTTTTGACAAAGTCCAGATTTCACACATTAAATTCTTGTTCTCACGGAGGGTTAACTTTCACCTGGTTGTTACACTTGGAAAGGGCAGGGAAAATTCCTCTTGTCACTCCATCTCTGCATCGGCTCACTGAGAGCCGGCACGCTCCTCCAGCTCACAGCTATGGTAAGCACCGTGCTGAGCTAAACATGAAGGGCTTGTGCATGCTCCTGTGAGCCTGGAAAGCTCTTCCTGGTTAAAGAATGCCCAAGGGTGTAGAAGTCTTTCTCTACCCATCCACCTCCAGCATGCAGGACTTGTGACCTTCAAGACAGAGTTCTCTTCAAAGCTGACTCCTCGCCTTAGAATGAAGGCTGCTGAATAGCAAAGCCAACTGAGAGACTGTGAATAATAGTCTCTGATAACATGTTCATTCCTAAAAATATATTTTGTCTTCCACAGCCTGGTATGGTGCTATATTTGTCTTTAGTTCCATGGTTCTTTTTCAAGTTTCATACTTGAACAACACTTTTTCAGTCTGTTGTATTTTAATTAAAAAACCATGGTTGACACAGCACTAAGTCTGGAGAAGAGGAACATTAAAAGCACCTCTTAAAAGGTAAACAAACAGTTAGAGTGCTTGTTAGAGTTTCAGAATTTCGTACTCCTCCCCAGTCTGTTAACCATGATTTTTAAGTGGAAAAATTCAATGGAAAATATCAGGTATAAATCTGCTCCACCAAAATGGAAAGAAAAAAACAATTAAACTGAAAGGAGAAAGGGATATCAGTGCTGCAATGTCAGTGGCAACACACTTGGAATTTCTCTTACACTGATAGTTGCTTGTTTAAGGAACAAGTTGAAACAGGAAAATTCTGCCATTCTTTTCCAAATTATTGGTTATAAAGAAAGAAAGAAAGAAAAAAGGAATCATACTGACCTACAGCTACTCTATTCAGGTAATTACCTAGTATCAGCACAGTAGCAATCTCGTGGGAAAGTGCTCCTCCAAAGCCTGAACTGCACCTCAAACCTAGCTGCAACTCATGAGCTCCCAAAATACATACAGCATTTTACAGCTAGCTCTCTGCTTTGACACGGGATTAAGATCTGAATCACAGAACCACAGAATGGCCTGGGCTGGAAGGGGCCTTAAAGGCCACCTTGTTCCAGCATCCCTGCCACCTTCCACCAGACCAGGTTACTCAGTGCCCCACCCCAGCTGACCTTAAATTGGCCAGAGGCTGAAGGACACACAGTTCATGACCTGAGCTCTGCCACCCTTCGTGTTTGCTCTTTGCACATTTTTTTGGTGCTCTGAGCCGCCAGAACACGGTTAGAGCTCATGTGGAAAAGACAAGGCACTTACTCTGTCTGAGCTGGTAAGTTTCTCAGGTGATGAGTGGTGAAACACCTATTTGCTTTTCCCATGTAAACCTTCTGAACTCTGAATGCAGTTTATTTTACAGTGCATGATTCACACTGCAAGAACACACAGGGCTACCACGCTGAACAACTTAGTCGCATTTTAGGGCTTTTTATACCTTATTTATTATTTCAATTTCATACCATCTATAGAAATTCTAAGTACTATGAAGAAATTAAGATACTAAAAATAATACATTACTTAGTATTTAGATTGAAAACCAGTAAGGTAATTTTCATTGCCCTAAGGTTTATTCTACAGTGACTGGTTTACTGCAAAAACCAAAACTATTTCTTATTGCTAAATACCAGTCATAAAGACAGTAAGTGCAAACACAGCATTAATGAATAGCGGGGGCAGAGCACATGCTGTTACAGTATCACTCATTTTCCTTACTAAAGCAGTATTAACTTCTCTGCAGGAATTATACGGACCAGGAAAGGAGGAAAGGTAAACAAAGAAATCAATTTTCCCTCTGAGCTCTTTATGTTTACTGATAAAAATCAGGTTAGGCAGCATTTACCTTAGCTGATCCATACAGGAACATGCTGTGTGCCGTGGAGGGTCAGTTAAAATAAAGCTACTTATTAATTATACAGCTTAAGAACAGTCGCTGTTTTTCTTAAAAAAAGCGATCTATATAGTTCCTTTTAAGGGTGAACCCTCTGTGTCCTCTGAGTGCACACTGTTCACTGTGGCTTCAAACAGGACGTGCGGTAACAACGCTCTGTGACAACTACTTGGAGCAAATAAAACCACAGGAAGGGGGGGAAAAAAAATGACAGCAGGTGTTAGTATCTGAATTTAGCTAGATTTGTTCTAAAGCTCAGACTAGTGTTTAAGGAGAAGGAGGGGGGGGAAGGTCAAAAAAAAACCCCAA